CCATTGCAAGAACTAAGCTCCCTAAATATAACATTCAGAGAATATATATTCTTTTTTTCTTTGGCTTTCTAAATTCCTCGATGTTAGTACAAAATGTTCACTAAAATTATCAATATTTAGCACATATTTAATAAAATATAGGGCTAGAGCAATAGCACAGTGGGTAAGGCATTTGCCTTGCATGTGGCCGACCTGGTCTGCCCAGGTTCGATTCCTCTGCCTCTCTCGAAGCACCAGGCAAGCTACCGAGAGTATCTCGCCCACATGGCAAATCCTGGCAAGCTACCCATGACGTATTCGATATGCCAACCACAGTAACAACAAGTCTCACAACGGAAACGTTACTGGGCCCGCTCGAGCAAATCAATGAACAACGGGAGGACAGTGCTACTACAGTGATAATAAAATATGGCTTTAGAATTTACTGTAGAAGGTAGGGAAAACCTTGTGATCATTTGTAATTTAACTTCTAATTTAATTTTGTCATTCTCAGAGTAGAATATAGAAAAAGAAATGGTAGATTAACCTGTTAATTGTAATTTTATAATTTTTAGTAGGAATTTATTCCATGAGGCTTACTGCCTCATTCTTTTCACTTTTATAAAATAAAACAATTATTTCAAAGTGGTTTAGTAGGCCAAAATCCGCCTTCCCATCCCCACCCCCTCTCACCTCACCCCCACCATGAACCATACCCTGGTGCTTAAGGAACCAACCAAATCCAGAAGGATTCAATCTAGGACTTAGGCATGCAAAGCTGGTGCTCAGTCCTCTGTGCTATCTACCAGAATCCAAGACATCACAGTTTTAACATTCCATCATTTGATTGACTTTGGTTTAGTCAACAGTCCTCTGCTTCTCAGATAAAACCAAGCATTACTATCTCAAAGAGCTTTCTGAAGTGTCAGTGCCCTTTTTCTAATTTTGGCTTTAAGCAGTAGTCCCATAATTTTTATCTTATCAGTTAACCTATTATTTAAAGCTTAAAATGCCAAATACCTATCTACTAAATCAAACTGATGTATCCCAACGAATCTCTTTTACACAGAATAATTCTGACATCACGGTGACTGCAATAAACCCTTTTAAATTTACTTCTAAAATATTTATCTTTAATAGTATTTGCGCTGTCTAAAAGTATTAGGAATACCTTATTATGGTTGAAATTCTAAGCCATAATTCAGTTGTTGCTGGAAAATGACAAAAGTGTGCCTCTTTTTGTTTAAATAAATTATAAATGCCTTCAATGCACAAATAACATAAACTTGAAAAATGGGAAATATTTGTGAATTTCACTAGCCTTTTTAAAAGAGTAACAGTATTAAATATAACGTTTCTACATATGGGCTATGACATATGCCTTTTGTTCCAAGTTATTTTGCTTTTCTGTGTGACTCTGGAGTTTGCAAACATAAAATTTCATAATTACATAATGATAATTTCATGGTTCTACTTTGTCTAAAGGTGGCTAGACAGAGCAGTAAAATCAATTTTCTTTTACCTTTGTGAAAAGAAACAAAAGGAAATTGAATGCAAAATCCACATTACTAACATATTAGAATAATAACTCAACAATCTGTTACACATGAAATGAAAACCAGGTGCAGCCAAGTGTTAGTCATGGTGCGTGATACTCAGCCTTTGGGTTAAGTTCAAACAACCATTGGTTTAATCCATGCCTTGTTGTGTCACCCACAGTGTTCCAAATGCATGTTACCTGACACTATCTCCTGTTGTTTCCTCTTGCCAAAGGTACTCAGAGGCAGGACTACCCCTAGGCAAAATTATGAAGTAGGTGAAACTTGTATTCATTCCTTACCCTTTGCAATGACAATCTCACCGTAGATTATATTCACCTCCCTGTCCCTAAGTGCCTACTCCAGTTGCTCATTGCGTTGGATTGATTTGCCCTCATATTCCAGGGGACTCGTGCTGTTTCTTATTGCCCAATCCCTCTTTGATTGCAAAAAACAAAACAAAACAAAACAAAAAACTTATTCAGTGGCTTCATAAGAGGAGCCAGATAATCAAGACCCAGCCTCCCTTCCTATTATTTCCCACTGTTCCCTTCCAATGTGCTACTGCAAGTGGATCACCCACCTTGCCCTTTTTTTTTAATTTAGACACCTTTTTCATATTATTTCTTTTGCCTCTGCAGGCCTTTACCACTCATCTCCATCCATAGAAATCCTAAACATCTTTCAGCTGTAACTCCTTCCCATGCCTTTCCCAACCATCCCCAGTCAATCTCCTGTATACCTCATCCATACCATCATAAAGCACATATGACACATGTTGCTTTGTATTATAATATTTATGTATGTGTCTTGTCTCCAGGCACTGTGCTGGGCGCTTTACAAACGTAATCTCATTTAAATTTCACAACAATCTGATGAGGTAGGTATTACTATACCGTAACAGTTGAGGATATTGAGGCACAAATAGGTTAAATTATTTGCCCAAAGTCACACTAATAGAAAATGGCAGAGCTAGACTTAAGCCCAGTTCAAAATATATTTTGTTTCTTTTCAATCATATTGCTATCTATTCATTTCTTTTCCAGCATCTGAAAGATAGAGGGAGGTTTAAGATGGAAGAAGAGTTCAACATAAACTCTCTATTCATCAAATATGTATTTGACAAAGAGATTGTATATGTTGGTAATTACTCTGTTTGTATCTTAAACTGATTGGTTAACTATAATCCATGGAGAAAATTTTCTTAAATTTTCCAAAACAAATATATATAGAGAGAATATTAAGAGAATATTTAAGGCAATTTATAATTCAAGAAATGCTAGATAGCATTGGCCTCTGAACATAATTGCAAAACATGTATTTGAGGAAAAAAACGTGAGATTGACTAACAAAGAGTTCCTATTAAGCCCCTAAGACTTTAACTATTTGAGGTGGTTAAGTGGCTAAAAATGATTATCAAATTAAGTCTTGGGAACTAATGCTATCTCAAGTGAATATAAAGTTCTAACCTTATGCATTTTGCCTCTGCTATAGCATTCAAGATAAATTAAAGGAGAGATACTTAGTGAGTCTCAAAGGTCCATCTCATCCCAAATCACTGCTTTTACAGTTTCCCTTTCTGGTACGCAGGACCCAAGAGATTCATTCAGCTCAGCCCTGGAGAGCTCCATTTTGGGAAGCTTCAGTCTTGGTTAATCTTTCTGCAGACATTCATATCCTCTGAAAGAACTTAGATATAGGACCTCTACCTATTTTGACAACACTGCCTTCTCTCCCAAGGTCTGAGCCAAAAATCTGCCATCATTCTGTTCTTTTATTCTCATTTCAACTCCTAGCTCCTCAGCTTCCCACTATCAGTGTTTATTTCTGTAATGTGAGTGAGATGCAGTACCCTTGAACATATTCTTAGTACCCCTCTATAAGCCAGTGATTAGTTATCTCACTTTGTTTGCAAACTTTCTTTCAAGTAATGTATGCTTCCTGCACACTAATCTTAATCATATATGAATCTACACTTTGTTCCTTATACCAATTTTAAAATGATAACTTAGGGAGCATAATACAATTGAAGATTAAATGTAAAGACATTCTGCACTTTAAGCTTTAAGATAGGAAGCTTGAGATTTTTTTAATTTCATTTATGTGCTAAGTCTACAGAGTTCAACCAACCCAACAAGAAAACCACCTTTATCCATTATAAAAAGTACTCATGCACACAAAAGCTTCTTTTATCTTTTCTTTCAACTTTTAAATATTTTAAAATTCTACAATAGACCTCAGAAGTCAGTCACTTTTATTTTCTAAGTTTTAATTTTGAAATAATTTTAGGTTTACAGAGAAGTAAAAAAGATATGTATGTTGAGACCCTATACACTCTCCATTTCTCCCAGCTTTCTATGCCATCTCATCAAAACCAATAATTGACACTAGTCACATTCCCTTTAAAATATTAAAGAAGAAAAACATCCAACCAAAAGATAATTTGTTAGTCTTAATTTTGTGCTATGTTTTGTTTCTGTTCGCTAGTTAAACAGGCTGGCTAACATGAAACAAAGGGTGGTGTACCAATCCAAGCCCAAAGAAGTCCCCCTTTCACCCTCCATTTTTCAAGATAATTCTAAATCAGTGTCATAGCAGAGTGGTGGTTGGGAAACCATGGGTTAGAATCTAGTTCTGCCATCAAATGTTTGACCTTGAGCAAAGTCACTTGACCTGTTTAGGCTTCAGTCTCTTCATAAAGTGGAGAAAAATATTTCTTCAAACTACTTCCGAAGGTTGTTGTGAGGATCAAATTGATGATGTGTTGGAAAGAAGAAACTAGGTTGGCAATGAAATATCTCAATGGATATATGCTTTTCTGATAACATTGCCAGTTACAGAATGGAATTGATTAAAGGTGATTTTAGGATTAGAAAAGAACAAACCACCTCCTTCTTTGCTACAGGTCTGGAATCCCTAGCTCTGTCAAGGATCTCCCTTTCTATCACTGTTAGTTTGACAGGTACAACAATGTCTTATCAAATAAGTGTTCTGTGACTCATAAGGCACATACCCCTTAGCATGCAATCTATTTTTAAAATATTTTTGAACATTTTGTTCCAAAAAGTCAAATGCATTTAAAATAGATTTTATTTTTTTCCTGACCACAGGATTCATTTTTACTTTTTCTTTGCCATGAATTCATGCCACAATAAAGGTGCTTTTGACACTTGCAGGGAATTAGAAGAATACTAGATTAGATAGCAGATGGTTAGATGGTTTACAAAGTAGAAATGGAAGTGATCCAAGCTGCATTGTTCCGTGGTTTGTCTGAATATATAACATAAACTCCTTAACTCACTGGTAGAACCTGGTGTGTGGGTAGTAAAAATGCTAGTCTTGGCAGTAAGGGTGGAAAAATAGCTAGGAGAAAGTAAACTTAATTTTGAAAGCACGAGTCAAAGTCTTTATGGACTGACTGAATGTTTAGGGCATCACAATAAAAAAAATTAAGATTTTTTTCTCCTTTTTCATTATATGCAGGCTGGCATGGCCCTGACCTATGACCCCAGTGCTGCCATTCAGAATGGGTAAGTAGACCATCTTTTCCCTATTTTTAATGCTAAAGATATCTTTGATCTCTGAAATTGCCATGGGAGAAAAAATGCTCAAATATGTTTGTCTTTACTTTAAATATGTAAACAGAAAAGTTAAACCAAACACTTCTCACCATCTTCCTATTTCTCTCCTGTGAGTGCCTTTGCCCTAACAGCATGTCCCATGTTACTATTCTTACATCTCTGCCCACAATGAGCTTTTTTGTATGTCACTTTTCTCTCTTCCCCTTCCCCTCTCCTTTTTCATCTTTTTTGGCTATTCTTCTCCCCTATTACTCCTTCTCTTTCTTCTCCTCTTTCTCTTCCCTTTCTTGAACCTCCTCTTCCCCTCCTCTTTCTCTTTCTCATTCTATTTGAGCAAGAGAAAGTAATATAATACAAAGAGAAAATATGAAAAAGCTACACTCAGAAGCACCTGTATGCCTCTAGGAACAAAGCGTTGCCCTCTAATAAATCATAATACTAGAGATTTGCTTTCAATAGTTTCAGCATTTTTTAAATTTATTTCTATACAAAAATGTATTTACTATTTGTTTCTGTTGCTCAGGAGATGGAATGAATAGAATTCATTCCTGACTTGGTTTTTGTGTCATTACTCTTCATTTTAATAAGTATCTTAAATTTGTAACTTCTTGAAACAAGTCACAAAGTCTAAATTTCTTTTCTGTTAAACAGGATTTAAATGGCAAAATATGGTCTCTACATAAACTGTAATTCCTAATATGCTTGCTTCTCACAAATCACAAATCACAAATCATCCTGTTATTCGTCGATTGCCTCGAGCAGGCCCCAGTAACGTCTCCTTCATCCTAGCCCTGAGATTATATTCAAGGCCCTTTAGGAGAATGAGACCCATCATTGTTACTGGTATTTGGCATATTGGGTACTCCACGGGGAGTTTGCCAGACTCTGCCATGTAGGCAGGCTACATTCGGTAGCCTGCCAGTTTGTCAAAGTAGGAATGAGATGTTATAATAAGATGTCACGTGGCCGCAAATGCGGCCGCGCGGTTCTGGGAGCTGGTTTTTATAGTCTCTGAGTCCTGGCCGCTGATGGGATTACATGGCGCCAGGGGGCCAGCTAGTGGGTGTGACCCCCGCCTACTGGAATTTGGAGGATCTGGGTGGAGGATGCTCGACTCCAATCCGAGTAGGCTTGGAGATCTCGGCCCCGGAACCCATGTGGCTTTGTCCCTCTGCCGGTACCTTCAGGTGTGTGGAGAGTAGTCTCAGCATGGTGGTGGCTGGTCCTGGAGGTCTTCGGCTGCCGGCACCCTGGTCAGGGCGGGAAGGATAGCTCAACCCGTTCCCCTCCAAGGGGCCCCGGCGAGGAATAGCCAGGCGCGGGGCCAGGAGACTGCACTGTTCTCCTCCGGGAGCTAGTTTTTATAGTCTCTGAGTCTTGGCCGCTGATGGGATTACACGGTGCCAGGGGGCCAGTTGCTTCTCACTTTGCAATATTTGTTCTGTGGGGCTGGGAAGATAGTACAGTGAGTAAGGCACTTGCCTTGCACGTGGCTGACCCCGTTTTGATCCCTGAAACTCGAGCCCATCCAAAAGAGATCCCTGACACAGAACTAGGAGAAGCTCTGAGCATTACCAGATGTGGCCCCCAAACAAAACAAAGCAGTATTCAGTCTTTATTTTGGCTGTTCTGCGGTGGACACTAATTATTCTCTGGTTGGTTGCTTATTTTTGTTTTAATAGATCTTTTTCTTTGGATTTTTCCCTGACTCTAAGCTGTCTCTTAATGTCATTAAATAATTACTCAAAATAAATTTCTCATTTGGGATCAACATGGATTTAGAACAGAAGAACTTAAACTCCATTTTCTATCTAGTCAGATGCTTTAAGGAAAATTTATTGAAGTGTTTGAATCGTTATCTCTTATTCTCATGAATTCTTATTCATGTAGGCAGTCATTTATTCAGTCATCATTAAACATACAAAGAGTCTGCCAAGTCTAGTGCTGTATTGTATAAATTTGAAAAATATTGTAAGATGCAAACCCTTTGCCCTAAAGAAGCTCATTTACCTCTGTAGAAAAGATTAAAAGTAGCTTTTAGACTATCATAGAAATCTAGTCATTTGTGCCCCATTGATGGAAATCTTCTAGGAGAGAAAATTAAGCATCTATCTAATAAGAATTTACTTTTGCCTACAAGGCACTCTATACTTAATGGGCAGAAAATAGTAATGATATGAGGAAAATGTCCTCTAAAATCCTATTGTGCTGCTGGAAGATGAAGAAGTTTACTCAAGAAGTGAAAAATTAGCCATTATAATCTCATATAATAGTGCTGAAAATAATGTTCTAACAAAAGGAAATGTTCTTTTTTAATGTATACTATGTACCAAATAAATTTCCTTTGTTATTTAATGATACATGATTTCAGAATTAAATACATCTAAAAATGTCTTATAATTGCAATTAGGAATTTAAAGATGCAGGAAAATAGAAACATTGAATGATTACTTTTATACTCACTAATTAGATTCAGCAAATGTTAATGTTTGTATATGCATATATGTCTCTATGTATGTACATGTATGTGTGCCTATCTGTTATATCTATCTATCTATCTATCTATCTATCTATCTATCTATCTATCTATAGATATTTCAAATTGTTATAATATGTTTTGCTCAAGGCTCTATGTCAAGAAAATTGGAGATTAAATGGTGACCTATGCCTGAATTGGAGTGAGATAATAGTTCCTTCTTAATCCATATTTCGATTAGTATCTCTTCAATACATAACTTAAAAATCTAAATTTCTTGTCCAAGATCCTTGACCAATGCCCTTGTGTTTTGGCCAGTCAGCCTACATACCACCCTCTCCTCTTTTTCCTTGGCATTATCATTTCTGCAGAGTTGACTTTTTAATGGAAAAGTTATTAATTTTAGTCATTATCTCAACTTTTACCTACCCTCTAGCTACTGCTAATGGCCTTTCTACTTTCTGTTTTTATAAGTTGACTTACTTTTTTTTTAATGTTATATGTAAGATCTTATGGTATCTGCTTTTCATTGTCTACTTACTCTTAATGTCCTTCAAGTTCACCCACGTAAGGCAAATGGCAGGATTCCCCATTTTTTGAAGGCTGAATAATATTATATTGTTTTTGTGTGTTGAAATAAAATATATACAATATTCTCTGGAGTTCATATGTGCACTCCCACCCCTATTTTTAAATCTGTTTATCTCTGGACACTTAGGTTATTCTCATACCTTGATTATTATAAATAAAATTGCAGTTAACTTTGAAGTACAAAAATTAAACCTGAATTTATTTCTAAAGATGTACTTTTCCAAGTAATCAACATGATTATTTACAAATACAAGGGAAAAATGGAACTTCAGGCCCCAATCTGAGTAAACCAAAAATGGATTTTGGGTGCTTCCATATTAAAGGCATTAACAACCATGAAATTGTCTCTCTGAGTTGTGACTTCATCTATGTCTTACATTAGCACATAACATTATGTCTTACAAGGTATTTTTTAAAATTGTTTGAGCACACGTGAGACTGGTTCATCTTCTTTCATTGTCTCCTTAGATCTTGAGTGCTATAAATATTTTCCATGTAACTCAATTTTGGTTAAGTTGTCAAGCTTATGCCCAACAAGTTCTTGATTTTATCTATCTGTGTATGTGAGAGAAATGTATTTCATCAAGAAGTCCTGCAGTCCTTTTCACAACAGCCTATTATTTGCTGAATATTTTTTTAAATTTGTAATATTCTCAGCTCTCCCATCTATAAAGCCAATAAAAAACAAACAATCCTTTTCTCCAATGAGATCATTTTCAGTCATCAAATTTTGTTAGCATTATTTTCATTGGTAACAAACTTTTATCGTCTATGCATACTTCTTTCTAGTATTCTTATGTAATTAAGCATATTAAAATAGGAAGTTCTATCTCGTTTTACTGGAAATTTCCTTATTGACTCCTCAGTAATCTTTGTATATGTCAGTAATAGCAGACATATTTTTAGATTTTTCATTATTTGAAGTCCTCCTCATTTGACATTTTGTTTAGCCACTTACACCTTTTTTTAAAGGTCTTATCCATTGAATTTCTCAGTTCCATCCTTCTAAGATCCTTGTCACGTACCAGTCTTAGAATTCATACAGTTAATTAACCAGATTCCATTTTTGCCCTCTTTTGCAAGTATTTCCCAGGATTCAATCTTTTTTTTCTCCTTTACTCTGTCGTCTTTCTCCTTGAACTCATCCTTCTCTCTTGAATTTAGAAACAGAAAACTACAAAGTCTACACTTCAATTATATAAAAGATCCTAAACACTAGCAATGGTGGTTTTCACTGCTTTTTGTTCTTTTTTTAATGAATTACAATTATCTTTGTATATAGATAATTAAGGTCTTTATCCTACACATTTTCATAATACAGATCAAAAATCCAAATAAAAACTAACAACAAATTACTTTCCCTTTGAAATAGTTCGTGCTAAGAGTCATTCATTATAGAAACTTGATTTCTCTGGGATCTCTTTTTCAACATTCTTCATGAAGTGAAAGATCTTTAAGACCAGCTCTTATCCTGATAATTTTTAAGTTATTTAAGTCATCACCATCTATCTTTACTTAGTGTCTACCTACCTCTTAGTTACTTCTTCTCAAGCTGTTTTCTTATTGATATTTGAATATTTTAAAAGCCAAATTATATCCCAATGAGACCCCGAGTTGCCACCCACGAATGGCTTCTCTGGCTCCTCATCAAGTTGCTTAATGGCTATAATCCCAGAGACTCAGAAACAAATCTTGAAACCCAGCACCTTTTGGCAGAAATGTGTCCGGACCCCACAGTAGGTTACTGTCGCCGAGCCAACCCAGAGGGGAAAGGGTGCTGTCCCTCTGCCTGTTCCCCCTTGATGGCTCAGTGGCCGCTATCCGCCAGAGGCCATTGGGCAGTCAGATTTGGGTCCTCAGTGATGAGACATGCGGGGCCTCA